TGCTTGGATTCTTTATTAAATTCATGTTCCTTCAGTATAAATTATACCACATATTAGGAGGCTTTTGGATCAAGGCTAATAGTATTTGGTACTATATTATATTTATACCTTGTCTACTTCTGGATAGAATTAGGAGGGGCTTTTATGGACAGTGCTTGCTTTCTCTAAGACCACGTAAAACTAGGACTTTCTCCAGTAGATACGGCAGCCTACTCCTGATGGAGTCAATTTTATCTCCTGGCAGAATGGAGTGTAGTCTCTTGACAGCATTCATAGAGATGTGGAGACAGTAACAGCCATTCAGTTTAGACAGTTTCAGGCATATAACCACTGTTTATTTTATAGTAGTTCTTATTTTGAGGAAGAAACCAAAAATAAAAAATAAAAGATGATGAGAACTCAGGAGGACATCTTCTCAGTACCCAGGAAAGACGGGCTCTTTATTTTCCTGACCATGTCCCAGTGTCACAGGTCTAAGTCAATGACGATCCCTGCTCCAACAGGCTGAGGAATGGGCACAGTGACCTCACTACATACGGTTATTCTTTTCTTGGGCTGACGATGTGATGATCTTTCAACTTGTGGTGGGGCCAGGTGCAACCATTCCTAACCATCCCTCAGATACATTGCCAAAGCCTTGTCTGACACTCGGACCAGGGTCCTATGCATCACTTGTGGTAAACACTTTCATCGCTCCCCTTGAGGAGAGCTTTCTTTCAAAAATCCTGTCTGTGTGTGTTTGCCCTTTGTATAAGATGCGTCCAGCAGAGCTGAAAAGAGAATCTGTCTGCTTTCCTGATTCTTTGTATCTTGGAATAAGCCTACTCATTTTTTTTTTCAATGGGAGTAGCTGATCTATCTCACAAAAATCTTTCTCTGTAGATGAACACCTAGGGCTTATTAAGGTTTTCTAAACATTCCAACATGTTCTTTGCTTCCTCAGGCCTTAATGATCACCCAAAATAACACAGTCTTCTAGGTGGGCTGGTAGCTTCTCTTCTTCCCTCTTGTCAGTTACCCCCAAAATGGAGGCTGATGAAGGATTAATAATGTACATGACACCCCACCCCAGTACGGTAACATTCCATGAAACAAATGAAGATGGAAACAAAGCAGGCAAAAAGCAGACAGGACACACAAAAGCAGGAACTTACACCCAACTATCTTCATCTCTGCACCAGAAAGAAAGGGGCGAGAATGAGGGGACAGCACAGAGAGAAACAAGAACAATTAAGACACACAGGAAAAGAGAATAAAACATCACTTGCAGGTCGGCGATGAAGCATGCACTTTTTACCAGGGGTCAAGGCAAGGGGACAGAGTGTACTTCTGAGCACAAGGGCCAGAATCAGAGGGCCCCTAGAGGGACAGCATGCCTGCATCGCTGCCTTCTAAGGGGTAAGTTCAGGGCAATCCAGAGAGGAGCAGTGCCTGTGCCAGGTCTGACTCAGGGAAGGGCATGGTATCCCTGAAGCAGCATCACCATCACTTGAGAGCTTGTGAGAACTGCAAATTGCCGGGTCCCAGCCCAATCCTACCGTATCAGAAACTCTGGGGCGGGCCCAGCAATCTGTGTTTTCCCAAGCCCTACAGGTGATTCTGGTACATACGAAAGTTAGAGAACTATGCTTTACAAAAAACTTGGTCATCAGTTAGAACATACTAAATCAAAGGGCAGGCTTCTTCTGACAGGACAGGAAACCATTTAACTAATAAAAGCCATGGCCCATATTGCTCACAGTAAATGATAACCTTAAAAATTCAAGGTTTAAAAAACAAGTTAAAATGTTGTAATCCTCACAGAGCCATGGAAGAACTCTGTATTGCTACGACTCCAGGAAGCAGACCTTGCAGGAAAGCTAAGTAGAGAGGGCTGTAGGAGGTGGCACATCCCTGCTGGCTCAGACACGGTCTGGAGAAGGCACAGCCTTTTCTCAAGCAGGGGGTTTTAAACCATCCCTTTCAGTTTATGGTCTTTTGGCTGACAGCTTTAAGTTTTTTGGGAGGCTAATTCTGACAAGTGAGTTACTGGGAACAGTGTTAACTTCAACTTGTTCACCTGGAACACCTGTTCTGTTCCCGTCTTTCCTGCCCATCTTCTTGAAAAAAATCTAGGAAAGGAGCAAAAGTACGCTACAGAGTTATTAGCTTTTGTACTGAACTGAAATGAGTTTGGAGGGAAGCAGACGCACCACAGAAATGTGGCAAACCAACAAAAGGCTGAAAGCGCTTGGCTTCAAAATTGGCTTCAATCCTATCTATTTGTTCTATAACCTAGAAGTCAGGGCCTCAGCTATGGCACACAGTAGGACATCTCCCGTTCACAGCAGTCAATGGTGTATATGTACACACCCATGGAAAGCAATGGGAGACCATGTGAAAGACCTTTTCTGAAATGGTATGTTGGTACTCGTGGGGCTAGAGCCTGTCTGAACTCCAACTGTACAGTTACTGCTCTTAACTCACAATGTGCTCTGACAAGGACACACCTGGGCCATCCTAAAAAAAGAGCTCTCCAAATGAGTGTGTGCCGAATGCTGGGAAGTTTTAAAATAAGGATCACAGTTTATGAGTAATTCTGATTTTTACATTTACTCTAATTTCTCAGACTTAAGTGTTGAAATTCTCACATATACTGACAATTTATTTCCTTGTTCATCTGCCACAGATCCATGTGTCAAGAAGAAGCTGCAACTTCTTGCAACTTGGTCACTAAGGGCTGAGAGACTGCTGCAGCCTAGGTACAATATTTCTACAGGTAAAGGGTGGGCCAGTTGCAGGTAGCCAGGTAGCCAGGGCTTGGAAGTCTCACCAAAGGACTTTGTACCACAGTCACGGTTCCTCAAGACAGGCTGGCCGCAATGTAAAACACTCCAGCACACTTTTCCTGCTGCTGCAGCAGGGCCTGCAGGCCAGCCCTGTCACCTTGCCCAAGGATGGCAAACCCACTCTGATATCTTGGGTACATTAAGGGGTTGGTGATTGTTAGCTCACAACCCATGTGAAAAGCTCTCCTCAGGGGAGTACGGGGAAAGGAGGAGATTATGCACAAAGGGCCACTTTCTGCCTGTGGAGCACCCTTAGGTTCGGCTTCAGCACTCAAAGGCACAGCACGGGACGCAGCATACCCACAGCCCCAGCCTGGCCCTCCCAGGGCTGCCAGGCCTGGCCTTCTGGGGCAAATCACACGATGTTCCCTCAGCTGCCAGGGGAGGGAAAGCCCTCCTAACCTCAGTTTGCCTCGCCAATGCCTGACACAGCTGATTTCCGTGATGAGGCCTTTATTAACCTCTGTGCCAATGATGCAAAAGAGATGCAGAGTGCTCCACAAAAAGATCTCTTTCCACAGATGAGGTTTGGACAATGTCACTTTTGAAATCAAAGTGTGCTTAAAAACATTTTTCACTGAAACTTGTTCCTTTCTAGTCTGTGCTCACTTGGTTTTAATTCCATGACTGTGTGAAGACTAAGAGGAAGGAAATGTCCAAATCTTAGACATACAAGTTCTTAAAAGAAAGGAAGAACTTAAAATACATCTCTTAGGATAAACGACTCCCCTTCCTAAGCCTGGGTGTCTACTGAAAGGTTCCCCGGGTAAATCTGAGTAACAATCTACTCCTTCTTCCATGACACGTGCCAGGAAGCCAGGGACCATGCCTGGGCTCTTACTTCCCTGGTAGTTAGGGCCATAGAGGGCTGAGGAACTGTGTCAGGATAGAATGGGAGAAACATCCCGAGGAGGACATCACATTTATAGCAGCCAGGCCAAGGTCTTTTGTAAGCAAGAAGTCTCCTTAGCATTTAGATAAGCATGGACTTGACAGAGTGGCTCAGGTTTCCCATCCAAAGGGCCCTCCGTGTGTGCATTAGCAGAGAGGAAGGCTGCTCACAGCAGCATGCTCCGCATGCACAGTGTCCACGGAGAGGTATGGAGGAAGGAGAACAAGTCTGGGCCTAGTGTAGAAAGGGGGAAGGCAGCTGGGGTCCATCACATGGGCCTCCTCCATGCCCGGGCCACACTCCCCTTTGGGATGTGCTGGCAAACATTTACAACAAGAAAATTTAGAGTACCATGAAGAACTCCAAATAGGTGATATTTACAGTGGTCACAATCAGTTCAGTCTAGCCTGGCCTGGCCCTTCTACGCAAAAGCAAACAAGCTTTTAGCGGGTGATTAAAACTCGGTGGAAAGGGCGACGCGTAGCTCCTGTGCCCTGCCCAGGCAGCCAGCGGTGCATGTCTGACTCCTGCTCCTCGCCTGTCTTCCCTGGCCATCAGGCCCCTGCGCTCCTCTGAGACAGCCCTCCACCTTCCCTCACTTCCTGCACCCCTGGCTGTGGTGGCCTGTCTGGACCCCCTCCTCCAGCTTGGCCTGCATCTGCTGACTAGGACACAGGAACCTGGGAGTGACCTGCTGGGCCCACACTGGAGGGCCAATGCATTCCCACTTCCTGCCCTGGCTCTCCTCTGGGCATTAGATGGGGAGGGGAGAGAAAATTCCTGAGAAACTGGCCCGGTCGTACAATTTGGATTGCCTAACAAATACCATGTGCCTGATCCATTTTTCTAATACATTAAAGTGCATCTGCTACTCCTACAGGGAGTGGATTCAGCAACACCTCAGGCACATATTTTGGCATAGTCTTCCCCTTAAAGAGGAAGCTCTTGCGAGACCATTCTCTCCTAAGGAATGTAATGGAAGAGTGGAGTGTGAAAAGGCATCCCCACAAAGTTCCTAACCCAGCTCCACAGAGACAACAAAGCCTGTCTGTGGAATAGCCAGGCTGCACTGTGAGCGTGATGTGGGGCTTCTGGAAAAGAACAAATACTAACAAGAACCCAAGGGGCCACTGGCTGCAGACAGTAGTCAGCAACCTGACTTGGGAGGCAGCGGCTTTTAATGGCTCCTCCACAGCACAATTTAGCAACTGTGTATGAAACGAGCACTGGACTTCACCTCCTAACCCTTCTCCCCCCCAGCCCCAAGAAATTCTACCTACCTGGCATGATGACATCAGGAAATCCCAATTTTCTTGTAATCGCCAATCCCCTATTAAATATCATGGGGTTTTCTCTCCTTATCTGTTCCATGTCTCCACGAAGAAGCTGGAGAGAAATGATAAGGCCTGCAGAAACAAAAGCATTTTCTTCCTCAGACCCACATTTCCACCTGTACTGTATATAGGACTAGAAAAGACAGAAAGAGCCACATTTTTTCCAGAACAAAATGCACAAAGTTCAGCATTTTTCTTGAGAATAATATTGATGGCATTCTGGTCAGATAATCAGTGTTTGGGATTCTGACCATCCTAAAGTAATTTTTTACAGCCTAATCACTTGGTAGACTCAACTACAATTACTTTTTGAACCTGAAAGGCTGGGGGCGAGATCCCAGACCAGTAATCTCTGTAGAAGAGAGCAGCCTGGGAAGTACTCTGCCCCGCCCCATAAACCCAGCTCACCTATCTGTGGTATCTTTACACAGCTATCAAATCTCTTTCCCTGGGTGAACAGGAATCCACAGAACTAGAGACAGCCTAACTCAGAGCAGAGAACTGAGGATGGGACAGTTTCCAGAATCTGAGATGGTGGTTGGAGGGCAAAGGAAAAAGAAATCAACAGGGACACTGTTACCTTTCTGCACTGCCAAGGATTTATTCAAGTGCTCATGACTGCCTTTCACCTCATTTTCTGAGCAGCTACAGTGGCCGAGAGACACAAAGTACACCTTGTGAGGGTGCATACTGAAGGTGCTGGGAGAGTCATCTAGCTTTCGAGCTACCCAAAGGGATCCTGAGCAGCTATTCTCTACCTCTGTATAATTTTCCCACAAGCGCATGGAGAGCTTCTCACACAATAGCCATCTAACTGACACACTATGAAGTCTGCGGTGCCCCCAGCACAGAGGAGCAGTGCTCTTCTAACACTGTTTAAACAGCCAGTGTCTGTGAGTTCTGGACAACCACCACAGACACTGAAAATGGCACAGTCCTGCTCATTCTGGGGAGTAAGACAGAAGTCAGCACCTTACCCTGGTGAGGTGATGGTGAAAACTGCTCTTTCAGCTGTTTCTTTTAATGTATTATTACCACCATCTCACTTTTAAAACGTTCTCCATGTTTTAATCATATCACGTCTCAAGACCTTACAGTCAAGGGCAGCTCTTTATAAATCAAGTAAGTAAATAAAGAACACTATAAATATTGATGCAAAGGGCAGTTTTCCAAATTGCTAGTAACCTTTCTATACTTTAAAAACAAGATTTTATTTGCCTCTTGCTTTAGCCTGGTTTTAGGTGAAGAACGTGGACACTCCCTTCCCCCTTTAATCACACTGCATGGACCTCCTTGGCATCCAGGCACACCCATAAGGGAAAACAGTCACTTAACAATAGTGAGAGGCCCTGAGGACCCCATGCTACAGAGTGTTCGATGAATCAAGTACTTGCAACTGAGGGTCTCAAACTTTGCAGGCTCTGAGGATTCTCCTCACTGAATAGCGGTTGACCCGATAGAGGGAAAAAGTTCTTAATAGCTTTGGTAACAGCCATGCCTTGCAGTGGCTTTACACTGTCATTTAAGGCCAACTTTTTATTTACAAGTCTTTGAAAGTTAAAACAAATAAGGTTATGTAGAAGAGATTATGAAATAACTGAGAGGTAAAAACTGACAGGAGAAACATGGATTTATGTAAATTTGAGAGCTATCTTTAAGGGTACATAAAAGTTCATAGGCTTTTAAATAGTGCTTCTAATTTAATCAAGCAATTAACGTTCAATTTAGAAAACAACCTTCCTAATGTGCAGAACTGAACCAAGATTTAGACAGAAATTATATAAACAGGGTTTTAAAAGAAAAGGAGAAAAAAGGAAAAGGCAAAGCTGAGCTAAGATGAAATCTGCTTGTAATAGTTCCTGTTCTAGCTCCAGGATGGCAGATGTTGGCAGAATAATCACTGATGCTCATTTGTGTCAGGCTTTCTTGGTGATGCTAACACTAAACAGGAACAGGAAAAGTGATATTAATATTTGTCTCTTTGGGGGGATCTGGGTGTGTGATCTTTGTTCAGGGAAACACAGACTTCACGATGTGAGGGACCCTGCAACACTTCTGTTCACTCTGGATTTACACTGGAACTCAAGTTACCTATTAGAGCACATGAAATGTGTTATAGAAAAAACAGAAGATGTATTTTGGCTGGAATTAATTAGGAAAGGTCTCAAATTCTCACAAAAAGAAATAGAGAGTCCTTGGGGAGGAGAGGAAGTGTTTGCAGGGAACTGAACTTTACATGTGGCAACTGATCAGCACAAGTCAATTAGGTCGAGATCAGCAACTGCAAATGCAACACACAGTTGTATTTCTAGCCAGAGAAGTACGTCACCATGGCTGGCACTGGGGGCAGAGTACTTGGCGCTGGACTTGCGGATGATATTCTCGTGGATCTGGGACCACTCACTCTCGTTGTTGCACCTGCAGCAAAAGAACAGGCATTAGGACTTTCAAGGGTCTGGTATGACTTTCCAACATGTGATACAAAGTTTGAAGGGACACTTCAAACTCACTTTCCAAAAGAAATAAATGTATGTTTTACTCATTTTCTGTTGAGGCACGCAGAAGATTCACACTTGGGGAAAGACTAGAAACTCCAAAATGACTTCTACAAATACTGTTTAAGTGGTGAAATACCCTCTTCACTGAAATAGCACTCTCCCAACTGTCAAGTTTTCTTCTTTTCTAGTTCCTTAGACACACCCACCCAAAAACAAACAACAACAACAAAAACTAGGCTCCAGGGGCAAGTTCCCGATAGAGAAAAACTTCCTCTCAACACGTACTACTGTTCTCAAACGACACTCTTCGCATTGGCTTTATTCTGTCATTCAGCTGTCGTCATAATGCCCCAAGAGGAAAATCCTGCTATGCACAGGGCAATGTGGATATATGTTTGTGGCTGTATTTCAGCCAGGCCAAAATTTTTTTAAAAGTTTGGGAGAGTAGTGGCTTTGGTTCACTGTGAAATCCTCTATAGTCAAGGGGAAGGAGGGCTTAGCAAAGCAGGCAGATACCTAAATCTGGAAGAATGAAGTTCTTTTCTAGGGACTTACGGATTGGGACCAAAGAGAATGAAGGAACAACACTGCACCTCTATTCATTTATGACATTTTAGAGTCTTCCACTCTAAAGGGTAGTTCCAACAGCTGCAACCACACAGCTACTTGGTATAGCTCAGGAACAGAGACTAGGAATTCCTCACCCTAATGTTAGCAGACACCTCAATGAAACAGCTGGAATGATCAGGGTCATTTCTTGAAAATTCCATGTCCACTGGCAGTCCCCACAGTCTCGGCCCCACTCCTGCCCCTGTTGGATAAGGGAGGTATGGACCCACTGACCCCAGAAAACAGGACCCATGGACAGAGAAAAATTCACAAGGCCTTTCCAGGGTTGCTCACAAATGTGCAATCCAGTACAGCCACTTCCAAGAGGAAATCTCAGTAAGTTGTATCATGTGCTATCAAGCAGTATGAAGCACAACTGCTTCCTAAGTAAAAGGGTTTGTGTAAAGGCCACACAGAGTTAAAGGAGGTGGTCACTAGTCTAATTGTGTTACTCAATCAGTGGTTCTTCAGACTCTTGAGTTGGTATAAATAAGCCTGCAAAAAATTGTCAAAGATGAGGTTCTCAGAGCTGGGAGAATTCCTTCCAAACAAAGGAAGGGGGAGGGTGTTCTTTAAAATGATCACTTATGATTTAGCAACTCAGTTGGAAATGAAAGCGAGAGGTGCTGGCAGCAGGCATCCAGCCCCTCCTGTCTGACATGCTCGCTGTCCCATCTTCAAACCAGTCAATACATCAGAGCAGTGCCCAGCTGCTGAGGATTCAAAGCTGTGGCTTGCTGTCAGTGTTTTTCCACTTCCTAGGTTTATAAGATCAGTAGTTAATTTCTTTAACAGAACTCAGACTACAGTTTGTCATAAATAACGTATCCCCCTCTTATTTCAAACGAAGAGTCTTGAAAAACTAACTCCTTCCTTCCAAAAGACTCTCACTGTCCTTGGCAGTAGAGTGGAGCCAGTGCTTTGTTGACCACAGTGGCAGTATTATTTCATTCACATGTGAAATATTTCATTTCCCCCAACACATACAACTCAGATGCTAGACAATGGACAGCTTGTCCCTGCCACTGCACACCCTTTCACTATTGGTGGCCTTCATAGCTCTGCCTTTGGCCCATTTCCTTCTTACCCTACGAGCTTTTCTGCGCAATCCCACCTACGATCATAGTTTCAACCACCAGGAGCTTCCAAACCACAAACCAGTGTCTCCAGCCCAGACTCACCCCTAAGTTCCTGACCTCCATGGCTATAACAGAGCTTCTGTCATCTCTCCCCCACCTGTCAGCTCCCAGAGATACCCTCTCACTGAGTGAAACCCACTGGTTCACTAAACCAGAGCCCTTCCAACTGTTACCATGTCCCATAGATTTTGCTATCTTAAAATCTGTCATGTCTGACCTCTCCTTTTCATGGCTTTGTTTCAGCCATTATCATCTCTCCTCTGGACCAGTGTAATCATCTCCTGACTTGCCTTCCCAATATCTCCCTTTCCAGAATGCCAAGAGGAGCTCCTCAAATCACTTGAAACTAAGTGAGTATGGTATCATCAGCATCTTTTAACCAATCACGAGGATATTTTGTAAAGGAAAATTATAAATATAAGCATTTATTAAATAATCAAATGAGTTGTGATTATAATCAGGCATGATTATGTCATCCAATCAAATTAATATTTAGAGCATGATTCCTGATGTTGACAGTTTATCCTCAATCATAAGATGCATGTGAGACGGTGATCTAAATAGGTCTGTGTGCCTCTGTGGCAATTCCTCTTCCCCACAAAGGCAATGACCAGCACAGGTCATGAAGTGGCACTTCCACCACCGCAGGTCCAGGGACTGACTCAAGGGATAAGATGAGAGGGTCTGGGTTTTCTCCAAGCATTCAGGAGCATCAGAGGAGGTGCGCAGGCTCACTCAATGAACGAGTTCAGAACACCCTTCTCATTCCCTCACAAACCGGAGCACATCTGCCTATCTGCCTGGCTCCCCTCCCTCCTTGTCTTCCTGATTTCTGTGTTTCTGATAGGTACTCACAAAGCCCTAAAGGCTGTGGGGCACTCTCAGAATCCATCCCTCTGACCATCCCAGCACTAACTGGGTTAAGTTATTTTAGCCTGAAATGACCTCAATAAATGCAAGTTTTAGATGCTTATAAAGTTTACCTGACAGGTTGGTTAAATTTTTTTTAAAGTGTGAAACTACACAGACTTCTATCCTTGGGCATGAAATCCAAATTGAAGTGCTGGATGTTATTCTAAAACCCACCTTAAAAGCAGCATAGTAAGGAGTGGTATCACTAAGTCACATACATGGGCCTATGAGACAAATGAAAGCACCAATGTTCGGCAGAAATGTAATTGGGCCTCAAGATGAATTTCCAGTGAAGCATCATTCAGGATTCAAAGAGCAATATGTCAAAACCAACCTGATGGAACTGGAAATAATGTGCCTTGAAAAACTGTGTCAGATGACTTGGAAAGTGGCTTTACTGATGAAAAAGACCTGACAGCATGACTGATTATAAAGAATTTGAATAAAATCTTCTCATAATATGAGAGTGGTGAAAAGGCAATACTTATCAATTTTATATGTGATTATAATGTGTAATACACATTTTATACAATATGATTTAAAATAAAACTAAAATGATAAATGTAATATGCAAAGCAGTTATTTATGAAGTATTTCATTAGGGTTGACCTAAAAATGTTTATTCAGACTTTCTCATTGTGAAGATGGAGAGTGGCCATCACCTATTCAGAAGCATTTTGGATTTGATTACATGCATGATTTCTGGACACCCGTCCACCTCACCCCAATGCTGGCCTTAGCTCCTTGACACACCTCTCCTTTTATGTCCTAGGCTCCAGGTTCAACAAACCCTGTGCCTGCTTGTGAACCTTGTCCCTCTAGCCAAGAGGAAAGATATGACAACTATATCAGACTAAACAACACAATGTGGTTATTAATTTGTGGTTATTAATTTTGGCTCATTAAGAAGTGACCTAGTTTTCATGCTTTGGCTTCTTGTTGAAATTTTCTTAAAAGGATGTGGTACCTTCCCATACACACACGATATTAAACAACATCTATAAAGGCAGAGCAGTGACCATGGCAAGAAACATTCACTCTTTCTGTTTGTGGCTGACTCTAAATAATGAAAGAAATGATTATAATGTCAACAATTGATGATATATTTTGCCAATTCATTGATTAAAACTATACAAGACATTTTTATCCTTTCAAAATCCTGTCCTAGCCAAGGCTAAAATACTAATAGTAGCAATCAGTAAACCCTTTAAGCTTCCAACTCAATCTAACATGTCCCCTGAAACTTACTGGAATATACTGCTTCGCCTGAGGGCTGGGTGCACCGTGCTGATGTGGATTTAAAAGACTAATCCTAGAGGAATTCCATTCTGTACGCAAACTCAATGGCACAAACATACAGTTCGGAATCTGTTTAAAAGTCTCTTAACATTTTCAAGTGGAAAAATTATCCTACATTTTAACTCCATCAGTCCTTCAAAAATTTTGAAACTAACTTCTCTATAAAAACATTGTTCTTTGTTTTTTTAGAGTTGATACAGCTCATAAGTAGAGACAGCTCATTAGAAGCAGCTAAGCAAAAGCTACACATGAATCCCACTTCTTGCAAAGTGACACGCTGGTACTGAAAGCTGTTGTTTTAGAAGCAATTAGCTCAATTAAGCCTGACAGCATGATTTCAAGAGGGATGCTGTGCAGGCCCCTATCCACAATGCGAATCTGCACTGAAGCGAGAACAGCTCGTACATGCACAGAGATGCAAGTCTCAAGTGCTATCTATAAACCCCTTGCACACAGTGAAGTAAGATGGTGATAATGATAAGATTGGATTTCTGTTTAGTCCAGAAGCAGGTCCCACCACCCATCCATGAAAGATTTGGTATATGGAGAAAGTCTGTGACTGACGCATAAAAAGAAGAGAAAACCCACCAAAATTCCCATTGTAAGTCACTATTCCAAAGGAAGAGCATTTTATTCAGTACATAACTCTGAATATAGCTAAGGCAAAATAGGTAATAAGGAGATATGGCTCTTTTTTTTAATTATGAAGATGTGGTTCATTATTTAAAGGCCCAAATTAAGTGTAATTGTGGATTGAGTTCACTTCATCCCTGAACTGGACAGAACAGATTATACAGAAATATATCCATACAATGTTATGGTGAAGATATAGTAACATGGTGATTGACAGATTTAACTTAGAAAAACAGTATTTGGTTAAAACCAAAATAGGACAGGTTTTGAAAAACATTTTCACAGTAAAAAACACTAGTTTTAAAAATACACTAACTTACCATGTTTTTAGCATTACTATTCATACATGTCTCAGAAGCAGAGACAGACAACATGCCTGGAGTCTGTGTTTCTTTATGAGTTTTTTCCTATTGTTTAACAAGAGTCAGGATGAGACACACTGCTTCTGTAGGACAGGTCCTTTGGCTGATGGACACTAAAAATAATGCATGCATGGCTGGACAGGACTTATAGATTTGTGGTGGCAGAACTGAAGAGTGAAACCTCAGCTCCTCAGGAAAACTGGCTTTTCTCCACAGGCAAGGCAACCTGACTTGTGCTCGTTCTTTGAAGCAATCTGCACCAGTAGCCAGCGCAGTTACCACAGCTGTGGGCAAGCATTAGACACAGAAGACTCTCTTACATCCAAAACTCATGAAAAATTCCATTACTAGCCTTTCTGTAAATACATAATATGGTTGCTTAATCCTGGCTAGAAGAGGAAATGGGTACTATCAGACTTCTACGTTAGGAAAGAAGGCTCTAAATTCAGCTGCTTCAGAATTACCTGGAAGCTTATTAGAAATGCAGCTGCTGGAGCCCCATCCCAAACCTTAGATCAAAATCTCTGCATTTAAAACTCTCTAGCCTCCGTACCCTGACGACTCTGTGTCCCACAGAGCTTAAGAACTGCTGCTCTTGAGGACAGTGCTGGGAGGCCTTATGTTGCAATAATCAATATTCCTGATGCCCATTACTCACGTGTAAACCTTAAGAACAAAATCCTTTTCTTCCTTTAATTCTGTGAGTGACTGTAGGACATCCAGAATGCTAAGGACCGCACAGCCATATGGTCGCCGGTAGTGCAGGTGAGCAGGACCCTTCTTGGAGTCATTCAAGAGCATCCGGCCTGGGGCACAGCAGAAAACACCAGTCAGACTGAGGACTCAATGTTCCTCTCCAGGGCTCCTGATACTCAGCCAAGGATGTCAGAGCTATAGGCACCTTAGAGATCCTCCAAACTGGAAGACTAATTTAGGACTAAACAAGGATGCAAGGATATCTGTGTGGAAGAAGGCCAAACAGGCCTCTGGCCAGGGCTCTTCCCCTGCAATACATTCAATCAATCATCCTTACTACCTACCTCAATACCAAAGATCCACTTACTAATCATATGAATTTCTTAGAAAAACCAATGTGCTAATAGATTTAAATTTGGGCATATTAAGACAGTTTAGTATTTTAGCTGCCAAAGTCAGTGAACCACCACAGAAGCGAGAACCATCTCAAAAAGTGGATAAAATCTTGCTTTTCCTGCCTATTGGGGCTGTGCCTACACTGGTAAGAGGACTTGCAAATGCAGAATTGGAACCTTGACAAATGCTTTATTAAGTAAAGCAAAACAAAAACCAAAGTACAGCAAAACAGTTGTTTTGTTGGCAAAGGATTAAAACATATTCTCTGACAAAATGTGTAAAATTTGTCAGAGCCCAAACCTATGAAGTAAGACTTGGTCAGTCAGCCCCCAAGTTATGTCACAAACTTGAAATAAGGGGAGGCAAACCAACCACAGGAAAGGAGCAAAAATCACTTTTTTCATCTTGGGTAGCAGAGAAGTGAGATGCCATTCATCTACTGCAGTAAGAACAGTAACTCTAATTTTGTGGAAAATAGCTGGGTAAAAAACACAGCAAAGGCTGTTCTCCACCTGTTAAGTTGGCAACCATGGCCACCTGCTATGAGATCCCTGTGGCAGAGGGCTGGCAGAGGCAGGGCACTATGATAAAGAGAATGCCTAAAAGCAGGCCACTTGAGATCAAGAGTCTGGGTCTAAAACAAATAGGGAACAAAAGATTTTAAGTAAAAAAATGTATCCATTTATATCAAACTCGGCTACCACAGCAGCTGAGTTTAAGACAGGGCACCAATACAAGCTGGACTGTAATCCGGAGGCCCAGCATGACAGGTGAGGCAGGAGAAGACTAAGCTCAGCGCAGCAGACACTCATCCCCAGTAGGGCCGCTCTCGACCCGAGTGAATAAGGTGAGCAGTACCTATCCGTATCACATGGGCGACCATGTGCAAATCTCTCTTCACATCTTTGCTGCTCAGATCCTAAGAAAAGAGAAAACACTAAGTAAGGTGATGAACACACAGAAAATAATTAAAATTTCACTGTGAACCTCACAAGGTTTGCTCTTATGGCTTTTAGTATATGTCATAGGTGGGAGAGGAAAGTGAAAGCACATCGCAGTTTAGTGTTTACACAATTCCTGCAGGAAAAGTCCTATCTAATAAGCCTCTGGAAGTTTATTTCATTGATAATACTTTTTCAGCTCTTACTTAGAACACTTAACAAATATCTACAAGAGTTCTCACATTAGAAATTTTCATGCTATTGTTTAATATCACATAACATTTTGTAACAAAAGAAATGTTCAATGTACAAAAATGGGAAAACACCAAAATGCTAATGACTGAAATTCTAAAAGTTTATTCCTTACTAATTTTACATTTACTCCACTGTCCACAAATTATTATTGCACACTAGGTATGTACCTTTGAAAAGAGATTAATTTGTATTAGGTCTTAGTGAAACCTCAATAATTTGATCTCCAATTTTAAATTTAGATATATTTGTACTTGAGTATAAAGCTGAAAATAATTTCATCTGGAAAATTTTAAGGGCTTCATTAAGTAAACAAGTATGATTCAGAATCAAACTTTTCAACTAGAATTATGAAAATAACTTTATACATTATTTATATTTAGAACACATTTTAAAATAAAATGTTTATTTAGGAGTATGCATTTATACTTTATTTAACACACTGTACTTGAAGTAATGCTTTAGACTTTTCACCAGATCATCAGCTCACTGCTCACTCCCAGCCACTGTTGTGAATTAATGATGCCTGATGGCGTAACCTCTATCCTTAATGAGACAGGCTCCCATGATTTCCCTTTTGCTTCTAGGAAAAGTCCCTTAGTTCCATTTCCTTCCAATCTTTCATCTTTTGATTGGTCCCAGATGTCTGTCTCTTTCCAATAATGCAGGAAAAGGGACAACCAAGTGGCAGCCATGATTCTGAATGAGCTTTGAGATCCGGAGTCCCTGTGTTTGCTTTATTTTTATTTATTTTTAAAAATTAGGACTGCATTAACAATTTTTTAATTAAATTTACTGGGGTGACATTAGTTAATAGGATCATATAGGTTTCAAGTGTACACTTCTATATTACATGATCTGTATAGTGCATTATGTGCCCACCACCCAAAGTCAAATCATCTTCCGTTACCATATATTTGGCCCCCTTTACCCTTTACAACTTCCATCCCCACACTGCTTTCCCCCTGGTAACTACCACACCGTAGTGTGTGTCTATGAGTTTCACTTTGTTGCGGGGTTAGGACTATAGTGAGGCAAAAAAGACATCTAAAGTTCAAAATTTAAGGAGGTCTCATTCTCAGAATCCCGTACTTTGCTTGCCTCACCCTAATTCCAGCTTTGCCCTGTACAGTGGTTCTGAACATATAAAAGGGAAGGAAACATTAAAAAGTCATGTGTAATGGCAAAACTGAAACTTTTAGATTCTAGATTGTCATAATGCTGTAATATTTCACCAAATTCTGGTAGAATAAAAAAATATGCTTACAATGATAAAGGTTACAAAATAGTTTACCATAAACTGGTATTTCTGGAATCACAAAGATATATTTTTACATGAAAGTTTTACATGTCTTTTGATATTAAAATGAGTGTTTCAGGCTCCATTTCACTAATTCCTTTAAATTTACAAATGGAATTTAAAATTATACCCTCAAAATAGCACTGTATTTTTACATTTATTAAAATGGCTACTAAATAACAAAAATTGAAAAACAGAGTAGCATTTTTAAGTGTTTTTTTTTTGGACTGAAACATGTCTATTACTGAAGGATACAGAAAGGTTCGACACATTTCAAAGTGAAATGGTTCCTTCTGCATAGCTCGGATTACGTTAGTCCAAACTATCAAATGCCACTATAATAATCAATCCCAACATACCCAGAGAACTGATCAGGTGGGCTGTACACTGAGCATGGGACCTCTCCCCTGGTTCTGTATGACTGAATAAAAGGAAAAAGCCTTAAACATAATTTATAGTATTTTCCAAGTGGCTGAGTAGGGGCTTTTTCTGATCATGTTGTACATGGTACCCAGAATTCTTTGTGGTATTTATTTGAGGTCAATAAATATGTGATAATAATCAGTGCAAGAAAATATTTTGAGTAAAATTATTATTTGTGAGTCCCATATAATTTCAATGTCAATTTTAATGTAAAAGGTATCTTATTAAATGTAAATGCATGGTTAAACACAGTTACCACAGAGTTATTAAACATACACTCTTCAAAACTAAATACAAGTGTGGTTATCCATATGAAAATACTAACAAGGCCTGTAAAGATGGGAAGTGGGATGACTCACCCACCATTCATTGACGAGCAAGGTTTGAATTTAGATTTATTCACTGGACCACACCCTCCAACCCCACATAATTAGAAGCTGGTTCCCAATTACACTGTGGGTAGAGAGGGCAATGACTCAGGTGGGGCTCAACATCTTAGACTCAGTTACTAATATTCTATTTGGAATATGGAAAAGTCAACTCAGTTCCTTGTGCATTTTTCTGTAGAGATCATGGGATTTACAACTATAAAACAAAGCCAGTTTATTTATACTTATGCTGCAGAAAAGGAGGCAATATTTTATTATGTAATGTTATTATACTAATAATCAAATTCATTCTTAATTCCAAGAAATCACTACCTAAAATTCTATTTTGAAACGTGGAAGAGTATAATAAATGTAGCAAATATAATGCCAACTAATGCAGGGAAAACAGTACAAGTTCATTGTCTGAGTTGGTCACTCAGGTACAACAAAAAGTAAACACACATTCATTTACGTATATAACAAATCGTTATCTCGATCTTAGTATCTGTCAGGCACTGCGTGTGAGGCACTGGGTATCTGGTAATGAGTAAATGCACAGAAATGCTCCCACAGGCTCATACACACAGCCACTGTTTATCATGAAAGTCAACAAAATCCTCACTGTATTAGACATCCACATAAATATGAAATACCTCCTTCTTGGATAAAATTCTTCCTGCATAGGAAGCTCTGAAATCTAACAAGGTCAGGAGGAAAAAAAAAAAAGGTTTTTCAGAGAACAGGGCTGTGCCATGGACAATGTGACTGTCTGTAAGGCAGCTCTGATATCTGCTTGAGTAACCCTGCTAAACTGCTCAGCTTGTACCATCCCCTTTTTCCTGATGCTAAGGTAAGTTAACAGGTTGGCATGGACGGCAGCTGTGGCTGCATTTTCTTGCACTTATTCTGAAACTCTGTAGCACATATGCCAATTTGGAAAACTCCTTTAGCATACAGGGGGAACTCAAGTTTAAGATAATGAGAAGACAGGTTCTACCAAAATTATTTCATGTAGCTTAATGTAAAACGTAAAACATAAAACTCCTGGCTAAGACAATCTTGTTCAAAAATCTTATAGGCCTTGTAAAAATTCCTCAAATCACTTTTTGGATCTTTTTAAAGAAATCCAGGGCTGTGCTGCCAATGGAACCATAGAAGTGGTATTTTTAGCAGCCTTGTGCCTCCCACTGTGGCAGCCTGAGCGCACACATGAATTTCATGTGCAGCTCTGATTTATAAAGTTGGAGCTATAGCTTAGGCTTCTGGGCCCATACAGATAATTAAAATACTGTGAAATGAGTATTCTGATTTACTGTAATTATATTCAAATATCATCATAATTAAGTTAATTTCTTCAAGACACAAGGACTGCACTCATCATATTAAAGGACAGTACATGTACATAGCTTTGTTCCTACAATGCCAAAGAGCAAGGAATCAACAATTTCTTTTGCTGCTTAAACCAAAAAAGATCAGAAATCCAGGATCTAAAAAAATCTCCTAAAACTATGGAGACTTTCTAGACAGATGGATGTCTCATCTCTTTCTAGTTGTTTCAGAAAGGTGACCCCAGAGCCCCGCCTCAGAGTTCAGGCACTCTCACTTCAGAAGCGTTCCCCGGTCCTCCAACCTAAGTCCATTAACTACAGTTTGGACTCTTTCCCTTGTTCTTTTCCTGTTGAAGAGAGAGTGCTGACCTTCCCAGACTAAACCATCTCAGCTCCCTTAGCTGTCTTCCTGAGTCTGCGTCTCCTGCTCTTTGTTCCTGCATTATCTCCTAAGCTTTGTATGCTGAGCTCCAAGATGGACAAAACATCATTTTAGCTTAGCCAGATTTGTAAATCTTTCCATACATCTGGAGCATTTTCAGTAACAGCTATCTCAGTGAAAATGGTTTCTGATTCTGCAGTAACACTGTTTGAGGTTTTAAAAGATAAAGTTGTAGTAAATGAACAAATAAGTCAGGTAAACACATTCAATTTTAACTCTCAGAGAAAGTCACTTATCCTACCACAAATACCATTTGTGTTTAAGAGGCGCACCGTAATCTGTGAGTTGCCTGACCGTCACCCATCAATCATGCACCACACACAGGGCAGTGCCACTGAGACCACCGCACATCCCTGCACCAATGGGTTCTAATGTAGCTCAGTATCACTGGAGCAGATCGGAGAATCCACAATAGTCAAAGCTGGTTTAAAATTCTGACAGTTTTGTTTTCTTCTTCACCACGTAAATGAACTTGAAAAAGCAGGACAGTTAGTTTTTTAACTGGGTTTTTAAAAAGCCTTAGAAAATGAGAATCAAATAGAAAAATACACAAGGCAATGTGGCACGGGAGGCTTAGCACCTTCCAATAAGCAGATCATCAAGCCTCCTCCGAAATACGAGTTCTCGGTCTTAGAGACCATGAACAACAGCATGGTTATTCAGAAAACAACCAGAAGTACAGATCACAGCAGGAAAAGACCCTCTGTTCGGTATCTGAAAGAGGACTATTTAGTTTTTCTCTTTATATGCACTCACTGAAAAAACAGCAAAGCTGTAAATTTGATGGATGTCTTTTGAGAAACTATACTTATACATGAGAGAAATTAGCAGTGGCCTTGAGTAAGAATAGTAAGAAAGACTGTTCTCAGATGTTAAGTGTCCATTATATTAAATAGCTTATAAAATCTACATCAGTAAAGGCACTTGATTATATTTCTTTAATAAAAAATTCAATTAAAAACTAATTTCGGTTTTCTTTAAATATTTCATTAAAACCTGACAGAAACATAAATCAAGTCCTATTCTCCCCAGAATGTGGGGAAATAAGAGTAAATGCTCGTTTCTAGGGTGACCATATCCACATAGCAGGCCCCCGGTTAGAGTCAGCAGCAGAGAAGGGAAAGAGATTTGCACATACTGTAAAAAGGGCACACATTCGTTCTATCTTCTCTGGGTTCCTTGGCCCACCATTCTTGTTCAGTCTCACCAGAAACCGCTCACTGAAATGTAGGAGAGAGAGACAGAGAAACGTAAGGGACCTCGTGCAAATAAAAAGGGCATTTACAGAGAAACCCTAAACACTTTCAGAACAGCTCACAGTGACAGATAAGGCCAAAAGTACACATCTAGTGGCAGGACACTGTTTTTCTGGCCAAGAAACATGCAACAGACACAACAAACTACCTAATAGGTGTTGCTGTTCCCTTGCTGCTTGTGGCTCTTATCCCTAAAGGTGTCTGCTCCCTGAGGGCAGCAACGAAGACTGTCTTATATTAACCCAAATACCCCCAAGCTCCAGGCATAAAGCTAAGCCCATAACAAGCATATACATTCTCTGATGTGAACACACAGATCATAAACATTCATCATACTAGGTTCAAAATAATCTATATTACCCAATTTACATCTTCCAAGAATCATTTTAGGGCTAAGAAGAATATGTTACAGGGACTTACAAACATACACTGACTATATGACCCAACAACTCTACTCCTAGGTATATTTGCTCAGGAGAAATGAAAACATACATCCACACAAACACCTGTATGTGAATATTTATAGCAGCTTTATTCATAAAGGCCAGAAACTACAAAGAAGATGTAAATGTATGAGTGAAAACTATGAAACTCTTAGAAGAAAAATAAGTATAAATCCTCATAACCTTGGATTATATGTTTTCTTAGATAGGACACTAAAAGCATAAGCAATCAAAGAAAAAAAAGAGAGAGAACCTGGACTTCATCAAAATTAGTAACTTTTGGTGCTTCAAAGGACACCATCAAGAAAGGGAAAGACAATCTACAGAAAGGGAGAAAGTATCTGCAAATAATGTACCTGGTAAGGAACTTCCATCTAGACTACGTAAAGAGCTCTCACAACTCAATTATACAGGCCAGACATTTCTTAAATAGACACTTTTCAAAAGAAGGTTTTTTAAATGGCCAATAAGGACCTGAAAAGATGTTTAACATCATTAGCCATTAGGGAAATGAAAATAAAAGCCACAGTGAAGGTACTACTTCACTTCCACTAGAATGGCTTTAATCAAAAAGACTGATGAGCCAGTAGAGAGCAAACAAGATGGTCAGCACAAATCAACCTAACTTGGTGGCCAAGGACTGAGAGGCATCAAGTACATTGTGGCAGAGAGAGTTTCCTAGTTGCTTGTTAAAATCCATGTTCTCCATTTCTTCCTGAGCAGCCAGACAGACAGACTATACTTCTCAGCTTCCCTTCAGTTGGGTGCAGCCTTGTGGCCATTCTGGACATTGAAATGTTGACAGAAGTGAGATGTGTCACTTCCAGGCTTAGCCCTAAACACCTCTTACATGTGTGCCTTGGTGTTCTCTCCCGTCAGATGCCCGGTGTGGAGATGACCCCCAGGGCAATCTTGGGGCCATGTACCGGTGATGGCAGAGTATCCATCACTCTGAGTCCCTGTCTGGAGCTGCTAGATGCCCACAGAGAGAGGTGCTATTTGGAGGGGCTACACCAAGCTCTGGTCCAAAGACAAAAGGGTAGATAAAGCAAATTCTGGGTGGATAGAGTTGTTAGCCCTATCAGAACCCAAGAGCTTCTCCTTCTCAATGGTGAAAGGAGACCCCAAGGCAGTTCTCAGAGTCTTTCATGCTTCTGGGTTCACCTGGCCTTCTTCACAATTTGTGAAATATTCAAAATAACTGTGGTTATGTTCTTTTCATTTCAAAAGGCTTTAGGTATACATATAATTATTTCCTGTCTTGCTAGCTTCTCCAATGTGTATGATAAATAAATGATGCTTTCTGTTCACATTCAAACTATTTGAAGGCCAATAGCTATCCAATGTTTCCTGATTTGGCAACAGCTATTAAGCAAAATAAGAGTGGTTAAATATTGTTGGGAAATATTTCATTAAACACAGACAGGACTTCTCTGAAGCTAAAAACATTGGCATGTGTTTTAAGTACCAACCAGACAGGTGATATTTGACCCGACAACTCACTTTTGTATAAGGCAATGGAGTCTGTATGAACACAGTTTGATAACTGCTGACTGAATCTATTTGCCAACTAGAGCTACAGCAAGTACTCCTATTTCCCAAAGGTGTGGGAAAAAACCCAACTGTGGTCAAGAGAGTAAAATTTATTCATGAGATTTTATAAACATCCACACCTCTATATGAGGGCAACAGGTCAGTTTTTCTTGTAAAAAGAGATGATGTTAAATTCTTACTCTTCAATAAACAGTGCTATAAGAGAACTGCCCCACATTCAGTTGTCTTTATGATGAGCTATGCATGAACACTATGTGAAGTTACATGAATTTCATATTACTGGGCAAGTTCTTACAAATGAATTCCATAATTCAAATCTGTGACAAGTCTAACAGTGTCTTAATTTTAAAATCACTTGCTTTTTATGAGAGTTCTAATTCATACACTTCTCCATGGATGCTAATGCTCAGTGACTTCCCATGAGGGGCCAGCTTACGCCAGGCACCAAAGCAGAGATGGATTATCTGATCCTCAGGAAGGGGATTTTCTGAAGACTCTGTTTTGGAAATATAAGCACTCTCCTTAGTAAGTTCCGAGGAATTCTCTCATTCTTCAATTTAATCTCATGTTTCTCATTTGGTCCTCTGTGGAGATGGATGCCAACTACTTAGCATCTCTCTCACGATAACCTTCCAGGTGCTTGAAACAGGCAAGTAGCCCCAAGGCTATACTACATGGTGCTACCCAACAGGTTAGGAAATCTCTTAATATTCCCTCATAGATTCATTTTCCAATTTAGATCGCTTGGCTTTATTTCTCGAGTTCTTTAAGTTTTCCCATGTCATTCTAAAGCAGGAAGAGCAGAAATGCATAAAGGGGTTTCATGAAGGCAAATCAGTGTTGTAGTTTTCAAATTCATTTTAGAATCAGTTTCACCTTCTTTTCAGCAAAACCTTGCACTGTTCACCAACATATGAAAAATTTAAAAACAGAGCTACCTTGGTTGAACCAGAGGTGGAGGGAGGAGGGGAGGGGAAGGAATTCTCCCTACCTAGGCCTCTCTCCTAACTGCCAACCCTGAGACACTTCAGGTCTTCAAAGAACACTCTTCTAACTACCAGTGCAATTCAGAGGTTCTTTCGAGCCTTCCTCCTCCCTTTTTATTCTTTCAGTAAGCATTCATGAACTCCCACCATGTTCCAGAAACTGAGCTCGACGCTGGGAATAAAGATGAAATGATCCCAATCCTCAAGGTTCTGAGTCTATTGGGAGAGAGATACACAGAACCCAACAATTGCAGCACAGTGTGGAAATGCTCTAATTGCATAGAAAGAGGTTGACAAGCTCTACTGGGATTAAGGCAGACTTCCTACAGGAGATACTGGAACAAATTCTTGCAATATTGCTAGGCGTTCGGCATTTTGTAAGGGGTAAGAGAGGAAGGGGGGGGCTCTAGGAGGAAAGTGCACCAAGTGCAGACTCTCCACAATGTGAGGAGTGGTCGAAGGTGCCATGCAACACGGAATGGAAAAATCTAGTGTGGACTATGTGAGGGTTCTCCAAACTTGGCTATCTTCTGTGCCTCAATGAGGAGTATCTGGAAGCATTAAAAATGCTGATTCCTGGGCCCCATCCCAGATCTTCTGGATCAGAACCTCTAGAGGAGAGGAGAGAATCTTGGAGGCAGTCCAAGAATCTAAATTTTTAAAAAGGTTTCACTGGTTAAGTTTGGAAAATTTGCGGTACTCACCGCCTCCCACAACCACACCAAAATTACAACTAAAATACAAAACCACCATGGTTCAGAACCACCTGAAATCTAGCTGAACAGAAGTCCTACAACTGGGGAATTAAAGAAGCAGCTCATCGAGACCAGTAGGAGGGGCAGAGACGTGGGGCAGAATGGAGGAACTGGCTGGCCCCATACCAGTTTAAAATCGGGGGGGTATCTCGGCTGCGACGGTTTCCCTGAGGATTGAGGGATCACAACCCCACACCAGGACCCCCAGCCCAGGGTTCCAGTGCCGAGAAGAGAAATCCTCACAACTTGTGGCTGTAAAACCTGCGGAGATCTGACTTTCCAGGTCTGTGTTCAAAATGTGAGCATTCTTGTTCTTCTCAATCGCACTCAACTCATTACACTTTCTCTCTCTGGCATGGTAGAGGGTAAGAGGGATATTTACTCACAGATGGAAGAAAAATCATAATATTTATCTAAGGCTTTCCCTGCACTGCCATACCACACACACACACACACCCTGCAGGCCTGGCCTGTTGTAACTACCTAAGTCTTCTAAGGACACCAGAACAAACTAACTTGTTACTATTTCTGCTGCTGTTTCTGTGCCTCAATGAGGCAACGTCTTCCTGTTTAATGTTATATATCATGAGGGATTCTTAATGGGAATAGTAGAGTTTATAAAAACCAAAATAAACGTACAGAAAAGAAACAGAAAAATCTTGTTTCTTGAATGGAAGCTAGAGAACTCAGCCAACTCGAAAAGCCAGACATTTTACTAGATATTTTCTAGGCTTTTAAAGTATAAGACTGAGAAACTCAGGAATAATCTCAAGGAACAAAAGCAAATAAAAGATTTCCTAAGTACTAAAACTTTGAAAGTATTTAAGAACTCTATTTTCTTTAAAGTTTAAAATACAGGAGTAATGTTCGCTGCACTACGTCAAATTCTTTATTACTCTCACTTAATATGGAATATCGGTGATACTATTTTAAAAACACCACTATAGTAAGGTATAAAGACAAGATTTCAACTCAAGTCTGAATTCTCCAAAGCCTGTACTCATTCCAACTGTCTTTCACTATGTGTATTTAAATGGTGAAAATAAGATACAATATTGATCAAAAAGAAATAAACCAATTTGAAAACAGCTACATGTCTCTACACATTATGTACCCACAGGTGCTACCCACAGGCGCGCACAAGTGGTACATCTGAGACTACAAAGGACTCTCTCGTTCTCCAGTTTCCTCTCTTCTTCATGTCCTTCCCTCCTCTTGAATCCTGA